TCGAGGGGAAGAAAATGTACACGCGCCTCTTCGCGGAATGCGTGGTGGCAATCCCCGACCTTCAAAACCTCATGGTGGACGTCAACAATATCCAGGCCATGATCACGATCATACGGGAGCTCGTGTATTCAAGGCTGAAGAAGGAGCTTTCTCACGTGGGATTCGTGAGCATGACTGTGGATCAAGCAGCGCAGTTCTACAACAACGGTCACGGGAAGCAATTGTGCGCATCCCGGGATGTGATCGTGTGCAAGAATTCCGAGGGAGTCGAGGAGAGGATGTCCATCTTCTTGATAGGCAAGGATCTTGGCAATGTGGCATATTCGTCCTGGATCAAGAGTGTGCTCGACCAAGGAACGATGTATGAACTCCTGGGACAAACCACGAACGAGGAATCCTTGGGAGACGTCGTCGAGATGGTGTTGGGATTCTTTGAGGTGATGTCGTACTTCCAGCACGAACTGCCACTGTGGAAGGATGCATGGAAGATCAAGAGGGAGTTCGAGCAGTCAATAGTGCGACACCTCGCTGGGAACGTGACCCACACGACGGGCCAGAACAGAAAGCGGAACAAACCGTCCGCACAGCTCGGCGTGCCCACGAAGGAGGTGCTTGACATCATGAACAAGGTCAAGCCCAGACATCCACGATCCCTGATCACCGAGCCCTCTGCACAAGGGTCCAAGAGAAAGGCCACGGAGGGCGAAGATGAGGGTCTTGGTCAAGCACCAGACCCGAGTCGAAGTTCTCAGCCCAATGCTGAGAAGGAAGACAAGAAGCAGCGAGTGATCGACGGGCGGAGAGCGGCACTAGGATTCCTGGAGTCAATGGAGAAATGCATGGGAGATATGGGGATCTGTAAGAAGTGCGCGAACCTGGCCCACGACGGCGACTGCAAGGACATTGAAGAGGCTGCTGGAAATGAGAAGGCGATGAAGGTGCTCCGTGAGCTACTCAGCAGTGACCCTGTTTCATCTGATGAAGACATGGGGGATACGGAGGAACCGTCCTCATCAACGTCCAAGGAAAGAAAGAAAGGGGGACAAGCAGGGAAAGAAACAATTGAGATGTACAGCTACACCATTAATTTGGTGGAGATGGCTGACACGGCTGAGGGAGGAGAGCTACAATGTGGTGGCGTCGACCTCACCTACAACCCGTGCGGGGACAACAGGACATTCAAGAAGACGCTTGAGATGGGATGCGACACCATCCCGTGCTACATCCCGAAGTATGGCGATGTGAGTGATGTGCACTTGCCATGGGCGTATGCGTCCATCGTTGACCCCAAATACTTTCCCAAAGGTGCAATCCTTGAGCAAGTGGACGTGATGCAACTTGGCAAGAGTGTCAACTTCTGCATTGCTCCTTTCGACGGTGCTCCACTATGCAGGATTGGTGATGATCGCTCGGTATTTACTACAAGGGACCAAGCAAACCAGCTATCTCACGACCTATGCAGAGTCCTTCGACACAAGATCGGCAATTGCCGAGGAAGTGCTTTCAGGTGCGACGAGGGTGGATGGGTCGACATTGATGCTGTCATTGACGACCGGAACAACGACATATTCCCACCATACACCACGAGAGCGAAACGATACATGGGCATCATGGAGGTGATCAAGTGGCAGGAATCCGGAAGCAAGAAATCGAGATTCCAGGTTCTGGCAGCAAGGTTTCCGAGCATCATGAACCCGAACGACACGAGGGCAGCCAGGGAGGAAATGACCAAGGCTGGCGTGGATCGGGACGACATCGACAGGATGTTCAACAGATGCGATGGATGGTACAGACCTTGGTGCATCCGAGTCACAACCGGTCACAGTGATTTTGGATTCATGAGCTCATCCGCACTGGCGAATAGGTATTCCGCAAGAATGGGTGATACTCTCGGAGGAGCATTCCATGTGACGTATGTGGAAAACCTGCCAAGCATCGTACGCTGTGGGCTAGTCCCCGGCGGAATCGATGGCGGTAACAGGCTAGCACTGCACTTCGGGGCGTTTGCTCCATGGGATGAGATGAACGTGGCGACGAAGACAACGCTACGGAACGTGAGGAGAGGGGATCCGATTGCGATCATCTATATTCCCAGTGCAACCCTCGCGCGGTATGGGGCTGGAGTCGCGGCTAATGGGACTTTCATGGTCTTTGACGTGATCCCGTTCTATGAGGTCAAGTCCATTTGGATTGGCAAAAGCAATGGAGGGAAGCGCCTGGAGTACGCTGACATCAAGAGGGCGTACTCGAAGTGTGTGGAGAACGAGATCTGCCCTGGCTTTGTCAACTCTTCCCAAGAGTCGGCTGCGATGTTCCTCCAGAACGTCGCAAAGATCAGCGAGAGGATGCCGGAGACTGAGACAGGTGCCGATAATCTGCACTACATCGTTGACATGGTTAATCGTGCTTGCGAACTCTATCGAAACAACAAGATGGAAGAGTTCAACGCACAGGTCAACGAGGTCCGGGACGAAGTCAGCAAAGTCGTCATCCTGAATGATGAGACATGGGAAGGACTGAGGTGCCGGATATGTCCATCATGTGCGACCGCGATCCCCACCTGCTTCTGCTTATGCCTGGAGTGCGAGGCACAACTGATCTCCATCGGAAGATACTACATTCACATCAAATCCGATGACGAGGAGGACAACCAAAACCCCAACGTCTCTGGAGATGCCAGGCGTGCACAGGAAGAAGCTAACCACGATGCGGCAGCACAGGAGGATGAGACGAAGCGGAGGAAGTTCCGGGAGAAGATGACGACATGGACACGCAAGGATATACATCCGGCTATGCGTCAGAAGAAGAAGACGGCGGTTGGCATTACCGCGACACCGATCTGACGTCACGGGACATTATAAGTTCCCAACGGATGGCGATCTGCCTTGACGAGCCGCGTGAGGCTCAGTACATGGCAGGATTTATCGCACTCCAGCTGTCCAAGATGTGGGGGATGTTTGAAGGTGGTGAGGAGAGAACGATGAATGCCGGACTCGAAGGGAATCCGGGCTGCCCTTATCACAATGATTTCAGGAGGTACCCCAACATCACTGAGCATGATCAGGAAGGTATACTTTTGCCATCAACAATAACGAAGATTTCTCAATCGGAGAATGTTCGGACAAGAGCCTTCCGATCGGTTGAGGAGCGTGACGAATATATTCGTATGATGGTGAACAAATGCGAGGGACTATACACATTCTACAAGCTGTGGATTGCAGCAAGAATCCTCGATGTCACCAAGGAAGAAATGAAGCTCCTGGTCAAGGACCGAGTGCACCCGGTGGGTGATATTATTTTCAGATGTTTTGCACTAGCTTTCAACTGTAAGTATATATCATTCGTGAGGGATGGCCTGAACCTTGGCAAACATGGTTACACGGTCAACGTGAGCGCCATCATCTCGGCCGTCGACCCGAACAAATGCGACACACCCCTGCTGGATTGGTGCCTTCGGAAAGGGCACTGGTTGCCAGAGGACTACAACAAGAAGTGTGTCCGGGCACGAGAAGCCCAGAAGAACTTGGACGAGGAGTTCCGCCGACGTACCCATAGGCTGTCCATTGGGGACAGGTATGCTTCGTGAAGATGATGATTGCGGTACGATGTGGGCCAGTCCCCATCTGTTACTTGCGTCACATCGACACTGTTTCGGTGGAACGACTTATGTCATGATTTATATTCATGTGTCCAAGATGAATGGATGTGTACATGGTTACATATTCCGACGACTATGACGCTCTGGATATTCATGGATGGAATTATTACCTTATAGATGATATCTTTTCATTATTTATGCATTGTCCATGGTATCTGGAATGGCTATGATTTGCATTGATTACTCACCGATGTTTCTTTGCCGGAGATATGCAGACCGATCACAAGCGGGCGCGCATGGTGGACATTTGTGGCCAACCCATTTATGGATGACAGCTGCGCGATGCGCAAATGCGGCAGCTGGAATGTTCACTGGCGGTCAAGTGAAGTGGCCACAGTGTATTATATACACCTGCATATGGATGTGTGCTTCGATTGGAGGATGAATGTTTCACTTTTCGTACAATCGAACCCGGCATGTTTCACAGCGAATGAACGGTGTAGTGATAGCAAGTAAAAGAATGCACGACACGATTTCGTAGTTGAAGCCGTGGCCAGTGGAACGTTTTGTGGTGTTTGGACCGCATGATGAACAATGCGACCCAAATGGGGGATGTTAAAACCCTCTAGGCCCCGTGCCGAAATTGGGTAGCTGTTCTGAGGTCCTTGTTGGTGTTGCTTCCCAAGTTCCATTGATCGCCATTTGGCTCAAGACACAATTGAGGTTCAAGATCTGATGTGTGACTGCAGACCTACGTGATCGGCATTAAGAGCAAAACAACTGCTTGCGCCGCTTTGTCAGGACCACTGGTGTAATTATCATTCCTTCTTCCTTACAACGTTTACACGGGTTCGGCTATAACGGCATCGTCCGTATACACCTTTCTACGTGGTTGGTATTAAAGCTTGAGGGTTCGGTGCACAGCGTCCCACGGGACGTCACCTTGCCGTCTCTTGACATGTATGATGTTTGTACACCTATGTGTAGGTGTTGAGGTGGCACCGCATCAAAGCAAGTACTACTCCAAATTGACATTTGCAAATTTGCTAGAGGGAAAAAGACCATCATAAAGCAGGCCAACATGGGACGTTGACCTTTCCCAGGCGAAGCCGGCCAAAATTTGAGGGTCTGAGCCCAGCAAAAGATGAGGCTCTCTGGTAAAAAGTCCGGGCGATTGGCAACACCGTAACCGGCCCGTGTGAAGGTTTACCCCAGGCCCTTGACTGAAGTGGAGGTCAAAAAGATGGAGGATTGCCTTTTGGTCTTGGATGGCGCAGGTGCCACCTTTTAAAGGGGTACCGAAAAGGCTTCTGAATTTTGACAACCCGAGTGCTGGTAGATCCATGCAAAAAAGGCTCAGGCGAAACGGGATGGTTCACGTATGCATGAGAACCCCGGCCAGGAGGACGAGGAGGAAGCTATGCTGAGAGATCTCAAAGAGCGAGAGGAGCGGCTCGTTTGCCGTTTTGGGTGCTGATTTTGGGCACATGCCACAAGCTGGTCAAGGGCTTTAGTTGGTTGAGCGGTAGTTTCCACTAACTTTTAGCAGGGGATCTGAGGACAGCCCAGATTTGCCGTTTCTTCTGACACATTGAGCCATTGCGCAACACATGGAGTTGGCCCAGCTGTGATAGGCGCGAAAGATGAGAGATGAGCAGGTCCGAACAGAGAGAAAGGCGCGATCTCCGACGGCTCTTGGAGTTCTTGGAGTGCTGGTTTTCCGTTCTTCCACACCTTGTGCTGGATGTAGGCGTACTCCCAGTTTTGCGCGTCACCTTAGCCCTCCGGGGGCTTGGGCATGTGTGACCCCAAAGCGATGTTGTTTCTGTTGCTTTCCCTTGAAAGGTGAACGGGCTATACCCTGAAAAGGCGCCAAATCATTTGGCCTCTCCCGCTTCTCGTCGAGCCCGGACTTCCCAAGTTCGCAGGCCGCTGCTGAGATCGAGGAGGCGGCCAAATTAGCGTCCGTCAAGGAGGGACTCGGGGCGCAGGTCTCATACGTTTTGCGAACCATCGAACCAGTTCTTTGCTATGCATCTTGGTGTTTTGTCAGCAAGACCCTGGGAAGAATGGAAGAATCGGAAACTTACCATCAGAATTAGTGGTTGTCTGAAGGAAACGATGACTGCAGTCTCACGTAATTCCTCCAAAGGACGGAAAGAGGGAATCCAGACTCTCTATTTCCCAGCAAGGACGCAGCATTTGTTTGCGAGCCACGGGTTGTGAAAGGCGAACTTGTGTAGACGAACGCCACAGCTGGCTCTCAGACAACTTGGTCCGGTGAGACGTCCCAACTGCTGAGCACCTCGTGGGTTTGACAAGCCATTCCATTGACATGTTCCGGGAGACTGGGTTGAATGGCCTTGAAGTCATGGCGGACCTGGTCAACAGGCTTTGAGCAGTACCCAGATGCGCTATATGAGTTCGACCGTGTCTCAAGTTTTGGGTAGGAATGTCAAATACCTTCATAGTCCTGGACGACCCTTTGTACTCACCAGTCAGTATTTGGCTACAAGCAAACTTTCCTTGCTGCAGTTCCTAATTTCTTGGAAAATGACCACCCTGTTTGCTTTGTATCAGTCAAACTTCAGATTTGCAATACTGTCGGCTTTGAGCGGAGGCTGGAAAGTGCGTGTGTGTGTGTGGATAGAACCGAGAATTTGTTTGGCGATGACGCCAATATGACAACTTCCAAAAGTGAGGTGGGCGTTGACAAGCACATGCCTATATAAATAGATTGTCATACACATGAATTCAGGTATTATATATATTTCCCGGCAGCCACGTCTCGAGCCCGGGAGACGGCGTTGCTGACCTGAGGCAGAGCAGTGGATATAACGCATGAAAATATATCTCAAAGCCACGAGTAATTGTACATGTTTGGTCCGAAATATAGGGTATCCAAGAAAAGTCGATGTTTTTTTTTGGAAAGTTGGTGTTTTTCCAAGAGTCAACAAAAAGTCGGGTTACTCAGAAAGAACCTGCAAATTCGTAGGTTCTCGAATCTCTAGGTAGATGTGTTGGTTTAGTCATTAGTTTGTAAATATATATTTTGTTTGTTGGTTGGTTTGCTTGTTTTGTGTTGTTTTGTTTTGTTTTGTTTTGTATACGAACCCCACGACTTCCTCAGGACGACAAGAAGAAGCAGTTCGCCTACGACTCAGAGGGCAATGTGATTGTGGTGCCCGACCCGCGTTGAAGCGGATTTGGGGGGAGCATGCGGGTGACCGCGGGTGCCAGGCGATTTGGTCCTTTTTTTCTTTGGGCCCAATGATTCCTTTGTCACTTTACATGGGATTCCCTTGGTATCACAGAATCAAACAACAAGAAACCACGTTCCCGGCTTGTTTTGTGTACGTTTGTTGTTTGTTTGGTTTTCGGTATTTTTGCAGCAGTCGTTGGCGGATCTTGGTTCGCCCACTGGGGACTTGAAGGGTATGTGGATTTATAGGGGGCGGTTCCTTCCAAAAGTGATGATCCCCGAAGCAGATCAGATTTTCCTGCGACTAAGCCTCAAGACCACGCATGGCGCCATCGAACATCAGATTCAGGCAGCTTCGAAAGGGTGCCTTTTTGAGTTTGGAGTCTTTATCTTGGGCCCTCGCGCCTTCGTCAAGATGCGGTTTAGCTCACAAAGCGCATGAACGTCCATGATTAAATGGTTGCGCTTGGGCGAACGCCGAAAGTCAGGTCCTCAAGCAAACACTTGATTTGCAAAAAAAAAACAAGCAACCGTCACTTGTAAATGACCATTTAGCAGTTCCAAAATGGCTTATGCCCAAAGCTCATGCCCAGGCCAAGGGTGTGATTGAGAGCCTTGGTACGGAACCCTTGTGCATGGCCGAACCTTGGTTCCATAAGCCCTAACGACAAACTTCCAGTTCCATGAAACCCACAAAGGGGCTAGCGTGGGGGTCCATTTTTTTTTGTGTGTGTGTTGGAGTTGGTACCTTCTTGGTGGATTGAAAGGGAAGCCAAAAGGAAACCCACCGTTCTTTTGGGGGGGGGTGCCCCAAAAACCACGCCCATTTCGACACGCATACCCGTGCCGATTGCGATTTTCGCGTCAGGTACAGCCGCCACAAGTCCATCGCTTGCCGAACATGAATGCCGTGCCCATGTTCTCCTGCAAGCAGGCGCCAGCCTGCTCCTGACCCAAGAATGGTTCGTTGGCTTTCGTTTGATTTTGTTCAAGGGCCGGAAGGGATCTTTCACCTTTGGAGCTAAGTCAGGTTGATAAATCCGGGGTCAACAATGCACATTTTTATGTGTGCATGCACTTCTTGTTCCCACAGCAAACAACACATGTGGCACATGAATGTCATGATTGCATGTCAAAGCAGTACTTTGGGCTCTTGGTGTTTACGTCTCCTTTTTCGCCAGCCTGACACGAGAACCTTAATTAGGTCTATCAAGTGCCCAAAAATGGCCCAAGCGTACTTCAGGCGGAAATGGGTGTTTCTTTTTTAGGGGTAACCCCCAAAATGGCTTAACTGGGTTTCCCTGTTGGTTTCCCTAAAGCCCAAGACGCGAAGGGAACGCAAGGCGCTAAGTCGTCGGCCGATTCGGCCTCGGCCGATTTTTTCGCTCAGGAGGAGGCGCCCAAGGCGCAGGAGAAGCCGAAGGGCAAGGGCCGGGGTCTCAACTCGGAAGGCAGGCCTTGGGAAATACTCAGGGGAGATAGTGTGAGTAAAAGGGGAGCCGTATATAAGGGGAGTTGTATGCTGTATTATTTACTTTAGTATCATTTTTTTTTGTGGGGGGGAATAAATGCGGGGGTATTTTATTTATTTCATTGATATGTTTATTGATCTATTGTTTGAGTTGTTTATTTATTTATCTATTATTTGTTTGTTTATTTATTTATTTGTTGATTTGTTTATTTGTTTATTTATCTATTTATTTATTTATCTATGTATATATTTATTTATTTGTTTATTAATTATTGTTTCATTTATATTGTGTTGTTGTTGTTGTTTTTTGTTGGCGCGGGTATACCGAGTAAGAATTAGTTGGCACCCGGACCCCCACTTGTAAAGATGTCCCACCCATGTCCTGGTTGAACTCTCCAGTGTGCTAGCGGTACCCATTGACTGGGTATGCAAAATGATTGTCACTATCTGTGTTCCATGGTCAAAACACCCTGTTGCTTGGGTTGGTTTGGGTGGTCGGGGTGTTCATGAAGATCTTCATGGGGTGGCAGACAACAAAAAGCACGGGCTAAGAGAACACCATGACCACGACTGACAGACGGAGTCTTGGCCATGGCACATGTGCTAAACATGGGTGGTACCTGTTGTGTTTAGTGTTTCGTTTTGGTTTTGTTCAGGCAAGGCTCGGGAAGGATCAAGAGAGCAATGACAGGCATCATGAATTTCGAATGTATGTGTGCCATGGAACTGGCGTAAAATTAGGGTGTATGCTGTTGCTGACGACTCAAGGTGAAGCAGTTCGTGAGGTTTCTATTGTACGAGTCCAATTGTGCATCGTGATTGCCTCGATCTAATGGGGCGGCTTACAAAAATGCGATCCAGAAAGCAATTCCCTTCGGGCCAATTGTGCCGTGATGAGTTGGGCTCGGTCTGAGCAAGTAAACAGAGTCGCAGGTGATGGTGGAATAAACACTACCTGTTCGTGGTTAAAGAAGGGCAACTTGGTATATGGTCCGGAAGCATTGCACATGTATAAACGTATACATTATGTTATACACATATACGTACTGTACACATTTCCGGACTTGAAATCAGTCATACAAAGAAATACTCAGTTCTGAGGGGAGCGGATCGCTGGTCGATACCCGCGATGTCTTGCATGATTCTTCAAGGTTTGGGTGCCAAGGCTCCGAGAAAATATGATCGTCCGGTCCGTTCGGGATAACTTGGCACCAAGACTTCGGCAGCGCCAAAACTCAAGCAGATATGAGCACTTGAGGATGAATCGTTCTTGTTTGTTTCTTTTCAAAACTCAGAGTGAATCCATAAGATAATCATCACATTATCATTATTCTTGAGTGCCTCGATGTGCCACCCCCTATGTTTGTTTTTGTTTCCTTCGACTCGCCTGTTGGCGAGTTGACGATGGCGAGTCGACGATTTGCTTTCTGTGTTGAGCTCGACCGATTGTTTCAGCATGCTAACACAGACACATGATGCTGTTGGTCCAGGTGGTTTCGACAATTAAAGATGGTATTTAAGTAGCATGAACCCTGGCATGTCGCGCAGCAATGCTTTTTGAAGTAGAAGGCAGCCCGCTTTGTCCAATTGCCCTTTGTATTGATTGCCTTGGCCTTTTTCCAGGTCACGTCTTGACTTTTTTGCCCTCATGCCAACATGAACGTACATAGATTGTTTTTGGAACCCGACTGGCTAGGGAGCCTGTGCATCATATCTGCTCTGAGGTGATAAGGCCGCTCGCGGCAAGCGGCCTTGGCCTCGGAGTTGGAGTTGTCTCCCTGAAGCCCTGGCCTGGTTGAGGTGAGTCCAATGGGAAACCAGGATGAATAAAGGGAAAGAGGACCTTCACTAGAGAAAGCAAATTTGGAGCCTGAACTATTCAACAGATTGGGGATTTGGGGGTTTGGGGCTGCAAAGGCAACATTTGAACCCGGCATGTTTGTTCATTGTTTGGTCGGCCATGCCGGCGCTGCCCCCTGGCTGCTTTCCCGAGGGTGCGCCTATAGGATGGACGCAAGACCTACTTTCCAGCAAGAGGGGGCTGGCCCGCAGCGACCTGACCAGGATCTTGCTACGCCTTCCAGAGGGCGCTGAAAAGAGCATCTGTTTTGGATTATTTAATGGTTTCCCACTAATTAAAGGATTTCCTCCACAAGATGTTCATATGTGGTTGTTCGAGAGGCCACATTTCATGTCGTTCCCAAAGTGAACACTTGAGTGGAAAACGGGGGAAGTGAGCAAGGGCACACCAGCAAATGGGACAAACTCGCCCTGAAACCTAGGCGAATTCGCGGGGATAATTAGATCTTTGGTCATAGTGAAGTGTTTCCATGAATGGGTTCTACGCCAGACACGGTCAACCCCTAGCCTAAACAGGGTTCCTTTTTTGTCATCAAGAAGTAGCCGTGAACATTGGGCGCCCTTCAAACGGGACGCCCAGCCCCTTGCAAATGGAATTGGGGGAGGAGTCAGGGAGGGCGAACTGCATTGCATAAAAAAAATCACGTGTAGGGGCGGAAGACTAGAGAAATGGAATTCGGCATCACCCTCCACCTCCCAGTGCGGGGATGATTGAACATGGACCGAACAACCAACGGCCCATACTTTGGTCCCACATGACTTGCGTTTATTTGCCCGCACGAAGAACTCGGCAGGTTTCTCACCTCAGGATATGAGACATGAAGCATGTCAAGAGGCCTAAAAGCTGAAAAGGCCTCTGTGTTTGTGGGAGGGAGTGGGAGATCGCCTGTTCAAACATTCGCCATAGATCCTGTCGGCTGAAATCTGAGGGAGAACTCGGTGGAGTACAAGGATGGCTTCAAGAAGTTCCTCTCGCAGCAGCCCTCCATGATGGAGGCGCTTGCCACTGCTTGGGCTTGCCGGTTCTGGGCTTTGAAGGCGCCAAGAGGCACCAGAAAGGCCAGTTTGCCATTCGTCAGGACTTGGTGTCTAGTGTTGAATGGAAAGTTCAAGATGCCTTAGTGTTTACACATTCCCAATTTGAAACTGACAGTTTTCCAGTTAGTTTTGTTCGCATTCTATCTTGACTTGTTCAAGACAACATGTTTGTGATTGGCTTTGTGATTGGCATTGAGATTTGCTGTCCAGATCCATGCGTGCGGCCCCGTTTCAAAGGACATTGCACCGCTTTTTCAGCAAAGGCGCCGACCCGTAGCAAATGTATCCTGTGTTGTTATCCTCTGTCTCTACGTGCTACCAATCCGGTGTTGTGTTCCTTCGTGATATATACAGTCATATAGTATTTATGTATAATATATTGGTATCCACTACATGGACTTGCAAAGAAACACATGTTAGAAAGTTATATTCCGCGCTGCGAATCCCGAATGCAGCAATGCTTTCTCGGTGGATGCACTCACAAAAGAGGGATTGAGACAATGAGTTTGATGTTTCCGTTCAGGAACTGTGCAATATGAGCAGCTTATTGATTGCAAACATGGTTATCCTAGGACCATGTCAATTTGGTTTAACAGTACCCCACAACCCAACTCTTCTTGTTTAGATCCTCATAGCACTGACCAAGATGTGCCCAGGCCACCACATCGTGCAAGCTATAGGACGTGTGAAGGCAACCCTGAATTCTGATCGCTGGTGGAGTGATGCATGAGAACCAATAGGGCAATCTGGGGTTTTCTCCCTTGCTTCTACGCTGAGGTCATTCCTACAATGCACCAAAGAGAAGAAACCACACAAACGACGATCCATTGTGGCAGCTATTCCTTCAGTGCTGTGAATCCATGCTTAGTTGTTTTTCCTCTGGTTTTGTTCGAAAGTCTTTGGGGGCTTCAAACAGCCTTCAGTGTTCGCTTCAGGGTTGGAAGGTTGCCTTTTGCCATAGGGTGGACTTTTGTGGTATTACATCTGACAGGTCTCTCAGCCTCCTCGGGCGCTCAGATGCTGTCGCCGTCAGGCCATGGTGATGTCTTCGGGCGTGGAGCTAGAAGAAAGGAACCGCACCAAGAAGAGCGAGAAGGCCCCGAAACGAGACGTAAATGTGTTTCTCACATCTAGCAATCGACCCCTCCGGAAGATCGGGTTTCTTTCGGCTTCCCTACGCCAACAAGGGAATCTGTGATTCGAGAAGCCCCCACGTGAGCTTTGAGCTCAGAGATGCGCACTGAGGGGGGCCTTCTGCCAGCTATGAGTTGCGTTTTCCCGGGTTCCCTGGTTTTGTGAAACAAACCTACCTGGGGTGCAGAAGGATGACAGCACTTGTGAGAAGGGGAGCCGTGGATCAATCAGGCACCGGGTTAGGGGTAGATTTGTTTGTTCAATCGACCAAACACAAAATAGTCTTTGTTCCTTCCTTTTGTCCCAGTACTACAAATTGTCGAAGATGTGTGCTCCAGCCAGGCCCCGGTATCTTGTAAGATAGACACACCAAAGGCTGTTGGCAGCTGTTGGAACCAGAGTTTAAACATGAACAACGGTCCCAATTATTCTGGTCAAGGACGGCATCCATAGATCTCCCTTTGATCGCTTAGTTTGGTTTAAAAAGAGACGGGTTCCACTGGTTTAGATGGTTTTATACACCATGTACCAGAAAAGCCCATCTATTTTACCAAAAGGGCACCTATCAGCATGATATTTTGTGAACACCCAGTGGTTTCAATAAGTGTTTGACTGTTTCGTCAAAAACGTCACCCAGGGCATCGGCCCAAGCATCGCAACTGGGAGTGACTCCAGGCCAAAGCCAAGCCTGAGACCATGTCGAGGAAGGAATACGAAGCAGGGGCCTCAAGGGAAGGCCTTCGAGGCTTCATTGGCTTTCTTTGGGGGGTACCCGGAGATCCCCTAAAAAACAGATACATGCACCCTAGTTGTTCCTTGCAGATGAATGGAAGGATCACCAAAACACGGTTCCATCTTGGAGGTTAGTTTGTAAAATGCCGCCTCCCAAGGCTGGTGGCTTAATTGTTGGTGGAGTTTCACAACCGGTTGGGCCCAATTCGGTTGAACGCATATCCTCGCCCAAAGTGACATCCTCAAGACTACCCTCTAAGCGGAAAACCACCCCAACGACGTGATTTTGAGAATCCCTCAAAATCTTGGCCTTTAGGGAGCCAGTCGGATTCTGCCTGTGCAGTCCAAAGCTTGATCTGTGACTGAAGAGTGGACGGCATCCGAGCCTTCCGCCACGGCGAAGAAGCAGGCAGTACCTCATTTGCGTATTGTCTGGTGTAGATTTAAGGCGTGGTTCTGGAGTTGTCATGTTTGTTTGCTGGGTGACAGGTGGAGCAAGCAATGCAGTGTAACATCAAGTTTGATGTATACAGAATACACAGTATCACATATAAAAGAACGTGATCATTTACATATGCTGTACGTATTTGTATATGTAGCATGTGCGGATAAGCTCGAGAATCAGTTTCTACCTGCTATGTTTCTTGAATGGTGCTTGTGTTTTTTGCTTGCTTGCGTGTTTGGTGAAGAACAGTCGTCTAGTCTATGTTTCATTGGGGGGCTGGAGGGGAACAAGCTGAAGGTACCCGCAGTCCCATGTAGGGAACAAGTGATTTCACCGCACCTCGCACATGTGGCTCGTCTTTTGTTATGGGGTCCCCTTTTGGTTGGGCTTTAGAAGGGGAAACCAAAATGAAACCGTCCGCTCTTTCTTATTTTTTTGGAGGGGGTCGATTTGGCAGGACATGGCAAAAGGTGCTGGACCTCCTCCTCAGAGAGGCGATCCGGGGATGAGCGGAGTGCGGTTGTTTCGCTGAAAGCTCTGGGGTCTTAGCCATCCCCCGGAGAAGGGTTTTTCAGATCCACGGCATAGGGGCCCAGCTGGCAGCTCCTACCCCAAAGAATGCATGTAGCTTTCTACTGGGCGAATGCCTGCTGAATAGTTTGCAGGCTCGCATTGGCGAATATTACGAATCATTACCCGACTCAGCAATCTACGATTCAATTCACCGCTTCGTGGGGAGTGTTCTCAAATTGATCGGATCTAGAATGGGAAACCCCCAAGCAAACCCCACCGAAGGTTCTGGGGATACCTGGGGCCGAAGGACCCATGGCGGATGTCCCAAGCAAACCGCAAGGACAGGGATGAGTGTGTTTTCGATTTCCAGGGCTGTTTAACGTTTCAACCCCAGCTTCCCTTGACAGACGATGGAATTGGGAGCTAAATGGAGTCAAGGGAACCGGTCCCATTTAGTTTAGGAAGGTCCCCTTGAATGAAGTTGTAAGAGGAAGCAAAAAGGACACCAACCACCTGAAAGGGGCACTAATTTTCTCGGCGGTTCCCAGCCATCCCATTAGTTTTTTGTTTGTTGGTTTTTGCACTACACCACTAAAAGTGAATCTTTTAGCAGGGGATCTGAGGACATCCCAGTTGGGTAAGAGTCGATAGCACAATTCCATTTCTCATGTTTTTGATTCTCATCCGCAGCCAGCCCACATGATTCCGGAATTGTGCCATCTAACCCTTGTGTAAGCACGTTGCAAAGGTTAGCATATTTTGGTATGCTGCTTAGCGCAGCCCAAGCGAACATGGTTTCCTACATGATGCAGCGGCACAACTGAGCTTCTAGCATACTTTCCTCGCATAGTAGATCAACTTGAGGAAAGGTGAGATGTTGCAAGCGGGATCCGCTTGAACCTGCAGAAAGAACACACGCGCGCAAACAAAAATCAGGCTCGCTTGTGGGTAAATAGAGGCCCATAAAGGATGCAGGTTCCCTGTTTCAGGTCTGAAGCCCGAACAAAGACTGGAATTCGCAAAGAAAATCCCGCAGTGCTTCCTTCAGTGACAAATACGGGAATGCCAAAAGGGTGGCAGTTGCGCCCCCCACCCCCCATAAAAAGGGCTTTCAGCATTTTGAGGAAGGAATTTGCACATGTGCTGAAGACCGGCATTTCATTGCAGTATTGTAGAGCATTGTTGAGAGTGTCCTCACACAGGTGTGTCTGACGTTCAGGTTTTCTGGCTTGCCGATGGATCTCATTGGCCAGCACAGCGCATGACGGCTGCTTTCGTGTTCTTCGTGGTCCCCACAAAGTCAGTCCGAGGCGAGTCAACTTGTGCTAGGTCCCCCAGTAGTTGCCTTTCTCACCCCTTTTTTGGGAGAGGGTTCCCCTACTAAAAGAGAGTACAGAAAAAAGGGTACCCTTATTCCAACCTCTCTACTGGAGGACCTAGTGTGCTTTCTGTCTTTGGGCAAAAGGCATGCCTCAAGGCTCTGGTACCCCTGTCAAAGGGAAGCCGAAAGGACCGTTTTTCACCATAGGTCGTTGAACATTTGGTGAAACAGTTGGTTGGTCCCACTCTCCAGGGACGGAGGAGAAGAAGCCGACGCCGCCGAAAGCGCCGCTGTAGCCCGGCAAAAGCTCCAGGTCTCGCGGTCGATCTTGGGACTTGAGATTTGAAGAGGGCGTGCGCCATTTCCCTTTTCGGAGCCTCCAGATGAAACAAATAGATCAAGCTTGTTTGGCCAAGCCAGAATATCCACCGGACCTTTCTATTGAGATTCCGGATCATTGTGCTCGGGGATTATCCAGTTCTTCAGTGGCTTCCACCATTTTGGCCTTTCCGTTCCGTGGCTTCACCACAAACAAAATGGTCAAGCAAGCGCAAGAAGTGTTATCTTTGTCTTTCGTCACTGAACGACTGCGCAAAACTCGAAATTTGGCAGGATACCTTTGCTATTGTCAAAAGTTGAGGGTTGCTCAATCTCATTCGCCAATCAACATTAGTCACCTGTTTGGGTAGGACATTCTCACAAAAACCATGTAGGTAATATGTACCTTCATGTTTGCTCCAGATGGGCCAAATGTTGGTACATATTGCCTACATAAGATTGATCAAGGGTGTCCCTTTTCTCCAATTTTCTATGCATCGATGAATGGGAGCGACCCGGAAGTTGGTTCAAGAGAAAAAATATGGCCGTCCACTCCTATGCTTGAGGACCCACAGTAGGTTAGGTTTCCTTTTGGTGTTCCCTTCAATCTCATCATAGCAGGGTTTCCAACAAAAAAGCCTTGGGCGACTCACGGGCTACCCAGCCCGGTTGGGTTGGGGGGGGGCGCCTCCTGTTTGCTTCCCCCTGCTGTTTGCTTCCCCCCCGGCGCAGGTTGCCCCATGTCCTTTGGTTTTCTCTTCAAACCTGCCGAACCCAGATTTTTTTAGTTCTTGTTTAGTGTTGCCTGCTCGGTCTCGGTAAAATGCGCCATTATTATATTAATATACTATAATACTTAACAAATCAATACACCTCCCCAAAAAGCCTTGGCCCCGGAAAATCCATCTGAGGGAGACGCCCCGGGCTGCGCCGTTAGAGCCGGCGCCCCCGCGGCAGCAGGCGGTCCAGGCGCGGGATTTGGCCAAAGCGCCATGGAAAAGCGGGAGATGCGGCGCTTTTCTGGGGGAATGATTCCTGGTCCAGTCTTTTCAACCATCGTTCTTTCCCAAAACCGGATCCGTTCTCCCCGGGTTTCCGGAGGTTTTGCAGAAAGGCGGATTTCTGGCGCGTTGGTCTTCATGGATCACAGGTGGATCCAGCGTTGCGCGGCACCGGACATGATCGTGTGACCGAGCAACAAAGCCATGCCATGGACAAAGTCCTGCACCTAAGAAACCCTGGAATGCTTTGTTTCTCCCCAGTAAATACCAACTAGCGGGTCTGGTTTTCCATGGTTTTCAAGCGGTGCAGGAGTTCGTCCATCAGCATGAGTTTTTTTGTGTGTTTCTTAAACTAGGGGCCCCTAAAAATGCTTGATTTGTATTTGGCTTCCGGTTTCCCTTTCACTCTCTCCCGCGGAGTGGCACGTCGGCTTACTCCAAATGGTCATCCCAACCATTGACCACTGGGCGCTGTGTTGGTTGTTATCATGAGCTTCAGAACGTTGCGTCGCTTCACAATTATCACAAATCCGAAATCACAGCTCTGACATATGCCATGATCTTGACCGTGGCGGCAGATGACATGTGGCTGCAGCTAGCTGCAGCTCCTTTCAAGATGAGTCCCATTTTTCTGGATGAGCGACATGGCCCGCTGCGATTGCTTCCCTCAGGAGAGCTTGTCTCAAGGGACTGATTGCCAACTGCGTAGCTGTGCCAGCCTGAATCTGCAGAGTGCAGGCGCTCCATCATACACCCCTTCCGGGTCATATGTTTATTGTCTTGGGTGATTCGTTGAGGAGTAACATGATCTGGACTGCACATACGCAAGGCACAGGCAAGCCGCGGATAGTTCCATGCTGTAGTCGGAGAAAATCCTGCACCACTCAAGTGGTTTATCCCGGTATTTATATACAAGGTTCCATCCTGTACAGGATTGTGACCATCCACTGGTAGGCTGTGCCCTCAATTCAGCTGCCGCAACAGGCCACGCAGGCGGCGCGCGAGACGCCGGAGCCCGCACGAGACGCCAGAGAACATGCAAGCCACGCTGGCTTCCGTTACTTAGATTTGTGACGTGTCATGAGGCAGTTTGCACATTTTTGCGAGGACCCCCCAAATGGTGGTTTTCCTTTGGTTGTCTTTAAGACCCCCAAAACATGATACCCGCAAAATCAAACTACACCCATGTGGTTTTTGGTTAGGGTTTCTGCTACATGCCGACCAGGTGAGCCACAATCAATGCTCGGATGCAGGTAGGAATAAGGGACTGTCCCAGCCACAAGCAGGTGCATTTGAGGCCGCTGTTGATTCTTTAACATCAGGCTCTACATGGTTTGGGCTGCAGTCGTTTGGTAGGAGTTGATTGCGACTCTGGTCTAGAGGTCCAACGCAGACCTTCCGAGCTTGTGGTTTAGCAGCTGTCATTCGGTTGAGTCGGGTTTTGGTGTGTGTGTGTGTTCAGGGTAACCTGTTCAGCTTGGTTTCAAGGGAAGCCTAAAAGAAACCCGCCATTTGCGAGTTCCCCTTTTTCGGAGACACACCCACTTATACTCCGCCTTCTGACTGAGTTCAAGTCCCCAAAAAGGGAATGCCTTTCAGTTCTGAGGATTTTGCTTAAGAGATTTGCTTGCTTTGGTGGGCCGTGCCGGGATCGCCTTGTCAAGTTGATGCGTTGGTACACCGAACTGGGACCTGAACATCCGAAATCCGAGTTTCAAACAAGGCAAGACTTGGTATGAGTTGTGGCTACTTGATTTGACAGCAATCAGAGTGAGGCCGTCTTGACCATTCTCAAAATAGAACCGAAAGGAGGTAGCTCTCAAGCGCTGCTCGCTTTTGCAGACCTTCAGCTCCAAGTTTGCGAAGGAACCACTGTCCTTTGTTGAGGCTACCCTTTTTTCGGTGGATTTTAAAGGGACGCCAAAGGACAACCACCCGTTTAGAGGGTCCCCTGCAGCTGCCGCTGTTGGTTTGCCAAAGGCCAAACATGCAAACCGAGCTAGTGGAGTTGTTCGGGTATTACTTTGTTACTTTGACACGTACGGTGAAGCTATCAGGTTTGGTCTGCAGCTTGATAACAAACTCTTGGATAACGACTGCTGGGGATGCCCTCAGCAGCCGACATTTGTCATCGAATTCGCTAACCACTGCTCCGAACCTCCAATCCTCTCTTCAATCTGCTTTGATTCATAGCCACTGCAAGACTATTGACAACAGCTTTGCCCATGCAGTCAAGCAATTATCCTGAATCTGCTATGCTGTCTGGTTTTTCTTACGTGCCCAACCTCCCTCATTGTTTTCTTCAAGCGGAATCGACCTTTCTACCTGTTGTTTTCTAGTCAAGGCAACCCAGAACGTGAAGATGATCAAATGCTCTCATTGCTCCGCGTCCTTCCTGTAAGTGAACCTCTGGTGCAAGACATATATACGTGTATGTATAATATATAATATATGATATATGCACATACATGCATACATACATACATGCATACATATATATATATACATATATATATATATATATCCACGTACAGCTTTCTTGGCGCGGTAGTTAATTTTGATTTCTCCCTTTTTCCGCTTCATATCCATCTGTTTCGTTGGCCGAGCGGGTCGGGTCTCGGACCGCGCCAGGTGAGGCGGCGAAGGTGGTACGCTCCGACGTGGGCTCAGACCTGGCGCCTCCGGCCACGTTTTTCAGCGCGGAGAACGGGTGGCGGGGGCATCCGACCCCTTCGTTGTCACCCTCGGGGTTCCTGGACTCTATGGGTGTGTCTCTTTTTGGGGGTGCCCCCCAAAAAAAAATAAGCAAGGAGGTAGTGGCAGTTACAAATACCGAATCAAGTATCTAGGGGTGTTCTTTTTCAAGGTTGGACCCCAAGTTGGTGTCTTGTTCTTCTTAGTGTCCCTTCAACACCACCAAACAAGGGGTGCCCTCGCAAAAAGACACACCCATATACTGTAACTCTTGGAAAGACCATTTGCGTGAGAAAAGCAGTTTGGAATGAGTTTGCCAATCCACTTAGGAAGTGAGAAAAGCAGTTTGGAATCAGATTAACAAATCCACTCAGGAAGACAGTGTCCCTTTCTCCTGACCTTGGCTTCCCCTAATTATTGTCCTCACGACGCCTGATCAAGAGCAGACCGTGGGGGAGGTGAGGGTTGCTGCCGGGCTTGGGCCGGGTGGGATCCTATGACGCGTGCAAGTAGCCAATGTCGGTGTGTGTTGTGCTAGGTCCCCAGGTAGCGCCCTTGTACCATTTTTTGGAGGAGGGTTCCCCTACTAAAATAGACTACAGAAAAAAGGGTACCCCTATTCTAACCTCTCTACTGGAGGACCTAGTGTTGGGATGCAATGACGGGAAATAGTTCTTGGCAGATCTTAGGCCCGGATTCAACATCCACGGGTCAGGAAATCAAAACCGAGAGTGTGTTTTGGGGCTGTTGCCTCATATCGATGATCAGTGTCTAACGATGTGGCTTGTTGGTCCTTTACATTTATCGGATCAGGATTCGGGCTGCTGCCTAGTTATAGCATTACTTAACGGTAGTGTTTCGTTTGAGCAGGACGGGCACATGGACAAGAAAGCTCCAAGGATCACATGTAAGGTTGCATGCTCAATTGTCCAGGCATTGACTCACTGTTTGTTTGACCGAGAATGGAATCCATTGTTGCCAAGCTCCCGCTTGCACGTTGCTTGGAGATCGTTGAGGGATGCGAAGAGTTGCTTCAAGGCACAGGCTGACTGAGCATGCTAAGGATCATACCGCATGATAATGTCCTTCTCACTTGATACGAGTTGGCATGCCAAGCTCAAACGGGCATTTCTGGTAAAGAGACCTCTGGCTGGTGGTTTGTTTTAGGCAGAGGGAATATGAGGGAATCAATTCAGTTGATGCCAGACGTTTGCGTGGATATCCCAAGGGATGCAGATGTCAGCTAGACCCTCAATGATGCCTTGAAGTTTCGTTTGCTCCACTAAGAGTTGAATTCGGACAGCCCAACTTTTGAAAACCTTCGGCATTGCTCAAAACTCGGCCGAGAACAAGTATATTGATCATTTGGGGGGTTTGGCGCTGAGGGATGGGGCTATTCGTCCTTTTCTGTCAAAGTTAGAAACTGCGGTCCTTTTTGCAAAATAGCACCACTCGGCTAGCCTGAAATACTGCTGGTGACATGTCCCAGATATTGTCCCACACAATCAGCAAGCCTTTGAATCTGTTGGAGTACGGTGCCTACCTCTAAAATCACGCGAATCAGCTGGTAAAGCTTTACCCCACACCTTCAGGTTCTTCTTTCGTTCTTTTCAGGTGGGTTTCCCTCGGCTCGACCAACCGAGCCAAAGGCGAACCCGATGGCCCATCGCATCACTCAAGTCGAAAATGTCAGGTGCGAGCGCCGCACGCGCCCGCGACAGCCCGGCCCATTCAGCCTGTGCCGCGCTCTTGGATGCAGCCAGACCCATTGGCCCCAGTTGGTTGCTCGTTTTTTTTACTGTATCCCCTTTTTTGTGGCAAAGGAACACCAAGAGGCCCGCCCAAAATGGGGGGGGAAAGGTTCCCCCACAAGAAAGACGCCCCCGATTTCAAGGGAAGCCACATGGAGGTTGTGAACCCATGGTTTTAGCAAGCTACAGGTGGGTGGCTCAACTTTTTTTGTCGTTTCCTCCAGCGTACCGTGGATTCCTCAAATCCAAGATCGCCGGCCATCATTTCCCATGCCCATTGGCCAAAGGGCTTGGTTTGAAAAAACGGCCTCTTGGGTGTGTGCTTCCTTGCATTTTGTATGCTCATCTTCACTCTGCGTTATGTGTTTTCATTATTCTTCGCCTTCTGTTTGCTTCTTCTGGTTCTTTTCTTGAGCACCACCTCCTCCCACGGCCCAACTGCACTGAGGCCGCCGTCTGTGCGACGAGCCCGGGCTCCTGAACTCCTGAACTCGCCGGCTGCGGGTGTGTAATTAGCGCGCGTGTTCTATTTGGGGAGACCACTTTCACCCTGACTAAGGACACCAAAAGGACTACCACCGTTTTTGCGAGGTCCCCCGACTTCATTCCCACAACCTGCTCTACAACGCTTTGCAGGAAGCCCAAAAATGGGCGGGGTCTTGAAAACAGGTCGTTTGCTGTGCGAATCTGCAGGAGTGTAAGGTTCAACACGGGTATTGAGCAGATCAAGGGACGGGTTCTCCACTTGGTTTTGGCGTCATTGTCTCCGCTCGTGGAGGAGGGGGCGTGGTGAAAAGGCAAACCCATGTGGGGCTGATTTCAGTGACTCACTCCCTGAGTTGCTGGGCTTTATTTAGTTTTTGGGAAGAGCATTTGAGTTAAAAGTGACTAGGGGGAACCAAGCCCACTTGTTAAACAAGACGCCCTCATTTCCTGGCGTTTTAGTCTGTTAAATACTTGGGGGATCGGGCCAGCTGGCAGATCTACGAGCCCTTTGGTCGGTGGATCCTGGGCTTCACATTGATAAGTTGGGATCTGCCAAGAATACGTCGTGTTCCTCGGAGAACGCGGGTGAAAACAGCCAGGAAAAGCCAAGGCAAAAGGAGAACCATGCCAATGCCATCCGACCAACACACGGCTGCTTTTGTTTCCATGGCAACTGGGCTACTGGGCCACTGGGCCACTGGGGGCGAGCAAGTACAACTGAAGCACAGTTCATTCCAGGAAACTATATACACCAATCTACGTGCGAATCGTACTCCATTTCAGAAGGCTACTATACACCAATCGATTCTTGGAAGATACTCCATTCCAGGAAACCCCTATACACGCGCGCAATTTTATGTTGCGAGGAAGTATTCAGTGTTTGCGTCCCATGGATGTTAGTCAAGCGGTGCATCCCGGGTCAACATTCCAGCTTGAGCTCACTGCCCCATTTGCCCAGATCCAGACAAAGCGGGACGCTCTTGGGTATGTCCTCAGTACCCGCGAGCGGGTTGCGCCGGCACGCTTGGAGAAGAGCGACAGCCAGTCTCCATCACTTCCAAAGGATGAATGACACGAGATGCAACCCAGAAAGCCGTTCTCATCCCCTTTTGCTGCTCAATCCCCCTGCAAAGACCAGATTTGCAAACAAGCAGGGCTCACCCGAGGAACATGATCTCCGGAAGACAATTGAGCGAGGCAGGCCCGCCTCAGGGGCCAAACGGGTCTCTGATTTTGACAGCTTTCATGACAGACCTACAAGGCAATGGAATGGCAGTGTCTTCTTTTCGGGGACCTCGAAAATTGTGTGGCTTTCCTCTTGGTGTCCCTTTTAAACCGCAAAGGAAAGGGTACGGTCAACAAAAAGAGACGCCCAAATAAACCCCATGCACATCCTATCTTGATGTGAAACATGGAACCCCAATTCACCCAAAACGGGCTCCATCCACCGGCAAGGCATTGTTTGGCCCTTGGTGAATGTTTCTAAGCACACCTCCCGGACCAGGTTGATGGTATGGTTCCTGTCGTTGAGTTCTCTGAACACGGACTCCGACGACTCGGAAGTGACGCGGATCCCCAGTGATAATAGTCGCCCCCTTTGATGAATGCGTTTTGTGCATAACCCGCAAAAGTAAGGGGGCACTCACACTGCGATTAGAATCTGCCATTTCTTTACATATTTGCATAAAACATGCATCTAGATAGACAGAAGGTAGTGACTAGATATACATGCATATACTTGGCACATAGGACCTGACTCCAATCATTTGGGGTCAACGAACCTGACTGGAGACCAAGTTCTAAGAGGGATTTCCTGGGTTTTCTTGGATTTCCGGATGAAACCCTTGGAGTTTGATTTTAGAGGGTTTGGAGGGAACCATCCCCCCCCCCAAAGTCCGTTTGCTGGACACGGGACTATTTTCTTCCATTTGCTCAAGAATATGTTTTATTTTTTCCTGTTGGTTTTAAAGGGAAGCTATCACTGCAAATATGTTCCTTTTTCCAGGGGACGAAACAGCAAATGGACTATTTTGCAACATGGGGTTTTTCGATTGCCTTTTGATACTGTTCCAATGGGTGTTTGATTACTATCTATTTTGGTTTTGATATCTATTTTGGTTCCAATGGGTTTTTGACTTTCGATTCCCATGGGGGGTACCCAAACCCGCCCGCTCGCCAGCCCCGCGCGGACCTGGGTTCCCGGTTCCCCCAGTGCGCCGCGCAGCCGCCTTTGGGCCCGAGACCCAAGGTCCGAACCGAAGGGGAGGGCGAGAGAGGGGAGGAGTCAACGGCGTTTGGGTGGGTGGGCCGTTTTTTTAGGGAACCTCCCTTTTGGTGGGTTTGAAGGGGAAACCGCAAAGACAAAACACATCATTTTGGGGGGTCCCCTACAAACACCCATTTGGATCTGATTTTTCGGGGAAGCAACGCATAGAGGAATTCAGCATTTAATCACTGAATACTCCCATTTCATACCAATCCGCAAGGTTCGTTCCGGGGTCGACATGTCCTACGAGCAGGGTCCCCTAAGAAAGACATTTGGGCCAGTCAACAGACCACTTTGAGCTAACAAGCCATGTTGGGGAGAAGGTAGGCAACTGGGTTCCTTTTTCTGCAAATGAACATTGAAAAAATGAAAATAAATGTTCCCCAAAGGAAGTCCCTCTTTTGATTGTTTGTTTGTGTTTCAATCTGCAGGAGCGTTGCTGTGAGTGTCATTTGTTTGCGGCCTTTGAGGACTAAACCGCTCAAACAGCTTCATCTTTGGTGAGGGCAACGACCTCAATGGTACACAGCGCAAAGTCTACCATTTTACAAACCACACGCAGCCCCGGAAGCTCTGAAATTCTACAGTAACCAAAACCTGGAAGTTTCGGAGAAAGTGTTTTTCTTGTCCAGTGGGACGTGCTTGTGGAAAACACACATAAGACTGCGAGCTTTCACATTGCCGGCACGTAAGCAGACCATACGCACAATCACCCGCACAGTTGCACACAAAAAAGAGGCAGCAGGATTGACAAACAAAACGGAGATATGTCCAAGGTCCAGCCATTCATTGCTGCTTTCCTATTAAACTTAGGTTTGGACACGTTCTCTTCAGATGCCCATGGACCCCTAAGGGTCTACGGGGAGAGGGGAGGCTATCCCTTGATAAGGCCTTATTGAGGGCTTGTCCTTGGCTTCTTCTCGGCTTATCCAGGGATAGCCCCCAGCATTTCCAAAAACAACTCGAAACAGTCTTTTGAAGCTCCGACTTCTTTCCCCCGGGACTAAGGTGCCACCATGGGTCATGGACTGGCGCCCAGCCCTCGCAAGTACGAGGAGCTGCGCAAGATTTCCCGAGTAGAAACCGGGTTCATGCCATCCATTTACCAGGGAAACCCAGCTATTTGACCCGAAAGGTCACCTATGCTCACTTCCTGGGTTTAACTGGACTTGAGCAACTTTTTGGGCTTGGGCCATTTTAGTGATAAGCAGAAGGTTTTCAGGCTTTCTTTCATTGGCCAATCCACTTCGGAAGTGCGCCCACGAAAGGCTTGTTGGTTGTCGCTCCCCAAGTTGGACTGAATATCTTGGGAAGACAATTCTGGTAAAGAAGGAGTTTGGACTTTTTGCCGAGCAATCCACACAGAAATCGAGAGTTGGGGAAAACGTGGTGCCATTTAGCCATGACTTCAGACACCCCTTGTGGCGACAAAGCTAGAAGCAAAAAGGTAGACACATGGTCATACTGCGGGCGGCCAGAATCCTGCACCGGTTGGTAGGTGTTTTATCCCAGTATTCATATCCATACTGGTGCAGGATATTGTCCATCCACTGTAGGGATTGTTTTGGAGGGAAGATACAGAGCCAGAAGACATGGGGTGGTCATCCTCAGCTTTTCAAGGCGGATGCATGTTCCGCTACTGGTAGTTAGACATGAAGTTAGCATTAGATTGTATGTGCCGGTTTTGTTCACCCGGGTCTCGCCTTTATGCCTGGAAAGGGTCACCTTTTGCCCCATGGCTCCAACCATTTCCGGAAATTGCCACGAGCTCACCTGGAGTTGAACCGAGCTCACCCATGATGAAGGTCCTTGTCTAGGGAATTCCTTGTTCCCAAGTTGTGAATGATATTTGCCCAGAAGCATGAGCTTCCAGAGAGCCGCGTGCAGCTTCATTTTTGCCAGGGCCAACCTGGACGGGAGGGGAGCTTCTAGAGGCTGTAAGACATGCACGGCCACGAAGTTCGTGATACGAGCGAGTTGTTTCATCTCCATTCATGATCACTTTGCCAGAACTTCGCCAAGTGCTGCATTTGTTTTTCTCCTCTGGTTCCCTGTGAAGCGACACGTGCGATGGGAAAGCCACCGGGTTATAGGTGTTCTTTTTGGTTGTTTTGGTCGAAGAATAGATGGCGATTCCTGGTTTACCTACCAGGGATATCCAGTTATTTCCAACCTGAAAGGACACCTATGCACTGGGTCTTCTGGAGCCACTTCGGGCCTCGCCTTCTCCACCGCCAATTCACTCATTGGCCAGGGCACCAATCGATCTAGGTGAATTGTAACGACCTCACACGACCGAATTCACCAAATGGTGGTTCATGTGTGGAATAGCCCCCCAACCACCTTATTTCAGGCTGGTGAAACACTATAATTCACCCAGAATCGATGGAACCGGTTCGAGTAAACAGGTTCGCAGCGCTTGCCCCGGAGACCCGAATCGGAAGCAGCTCCTGTGTTTGCAAAACGTATCATCCGACCGTCGGGCAACTCTTTTCGGGACTTGGGCCCGAAACCCTGGAGCGAAGCAGGATTACTACTTCCCGAACACCACAGCAAATTCTCAACTTGCTGGCGAGGAAGAGGCGCGGGGGGACTTCCATATTGGTGAGACTCTGCAAATGGCTGTGGGTCAAAACCAATGGCACCATTTTGGGGAAGGTGCACCACCCATTTTAGAACCTATTTTAGTGGTTGGATTGGGATGTTCACTGTGGCCAACCGGGATTTTGACTGATGGCCAAATGGCAATTACACCCCAGCCAGGGGGCTTAAAGGACTGGAGTCAAACTGTTGGAATGGCGGGACCATGGCGCCTTCAACGAGTTGACTCTTTGTCACTGACCGGTCCTAGAAGAGAATCTTTGCAGCATTTCACCATCGAGTGGCCCATTGTTCAATGGGATCTTGCCAAAGTTGGACTTGCAGTGACTTGTTTTTGTGTACCTATCTGGTGTATTGTGATGTAGTCGCAATGGGATCCTTGTGTTTTTTGGTTTGGTTCACATGGCCAGAATAAAATGGGGGTGAATGCTGAGGCTAACTGGCATTTCCCCCTTGGAGCCCATGTTTTGCTGACATGGCCCATGTGATGCACATGTTGGCGACATGTTTAGAGGAAACTCCTTTTGGGTGGCTCTAATTGTGGGATTCGAGGCACAACGGTCAACGTAAATGGGACCTTTGAGGCGCCGGCTATGAGCCATGACCCTTTGTGCGACGAAGCATGGGGACGTGGCAATGCCAACATTTGCTCTGGTTTGTGGAGCCCTGTCTATGAAAAATCGAAACGAGTACCCTCCCTCCCAACCTGTGGGAGGGTACCTGGAAGATCAATTTCCTCTTATAGGGACCATTTCTGAGGTGCCATGTTAGTGGGCGGCAAGAGGGTAATTCCCTGATCCTGGCTCAAACCTTTGGATTCTCTCCATATTCTTGCAATGACGCCAAACCCAGACACCCACTGGGGCGAAGTCCTTGTCTTTTGTTTTTGTTGAGGGGGGGGGGAGAGATTGTCCCTTTGAAATGATACATATATATATATATTTATGGTACCCTCCCCAAAAACCCACCTGTTTGCAGAATTCACTGGTATTTCCAGTGAATTTAGCCTTTTTTGGGGGTCTGAAAAAGACGTCAAAAAAGGGCAGTTCCAAGGGCAATTACTCTGGACGTTTCATGCTCTGGCAAACCCTCCAAAAATGAAAACATCGGAACCCCAGACTCTCTGAGGGAAAGCAGCTGGAAACCAGAAAAAAAAGAAGAAAACAAAACATATACTTCCTGAGGGAAAGGTAGCTGGCAGACATTCTCCCACAGGAGTATGTTTTTCTTTTGTGCTTTTTTGTTATGTGTTTTTATATTTTTTCCCGGTTTGTTCGTGTTTTCTTTGTTATGTTGTTTCACGATGTCTTTTTGTTCCCCCGTTTTCCTGCTTGTCTGATCTAGCAAAACCACATCTGCCAAGTAGGCTTCTTCAGGTCTCAAGCTCAGTCTGTCTGACTTCCTTTTTATTTTATTATATTTTTTCATTCACTGGTTTAAACTTGAAAGGCTTAGGAATCTAGGAAATCCTGCAGTGGATCTAGGATTACATGACACGTATTATGTTGTAGCACATGTTCATTGTGTTCTTTCTTTAGGAGCTATAAGTGCTATCTTCTCTAGACGTATCTTCAATGGAGAACAGATTGTTGGTACTAAGAATTGATTACTTTTGTCCTTATGTACACACACACACACTCTCTCTCTCTCTCTCTCTCCCTTTATCATTGCAATTTAATATTCATTGCTATTATTCTTGCCTTTTTCCAATGCATCTCCTGAATTAATGTTATTCCAATGTTATGCCATTATTGAATTTACTGACATACAATATGTATATATATATATATACATAGTTTGTTCTTCTTGTTTTGAGCAAACAAGTGCCCTTTGTGCTCCATGGCCACAGCCAGATCTGACCAAGACATGCCGCGCATTCCGAGGCGGCAGCTCCGGTCCAGCGCATCGAGGGTCAGATCGTGAGCAAGCGCTGGGCTCAGATCGACGCTCCGTGGGTCTAAGCCCAGGGGAGTTCCCGGTTTATGGATAGGTGGATGTCCCTGGGTTTGGTGGGGAATGATCACTTTTGGAGGAACACCCCCCTGTTCAACAGGTTGGTTTCTTTTGCGGTTCGTCCAAGAGCCCCAGTTTATTCAATTGGGGGGGTGTTTGATTCTGTGGTTTAGTGGGAAATGAGAACGCTTCTGGAGCAATGTTTCTTAAATACGGGGTGTCCGATTCTGGGTTTTAGTGGGGAATCAGACCACCTTTGGAGGGAACTCTCCACTATTTGTAAAAGGTTGGTTCATATATGGGGTCAACATTAATTAGGCGTTTCCGCGGGTCCAAGAGCTTGACGTTGCAATGGTCAGCAGAAGCGTTTTGATTCTCCTCATGCCCCAAGCTCCTGGACTTTGCACTTTTCGCGGGGACTATGTTGGTGGCTTGGACTTGTTTTGGCCGATCCACTCAACTGAACGTTTGGATATTCATCAAAACTAAGCATGACTTTTTTTTGGATGCTTGGCTGCTTGCTTGCAAGTGTTCCACAGAAGCAAGAATATGTTGCAACAATAAGCAGGAAACCTGCACCCATTGCTATTCGCTGTGAATCTTCCAAGACAGTGGGTGCGGCAACTCTGAAGTGAGCATGACCTTCAACCAGATGCACCTCTGGGGCAGATGACAGATGCAAAGTCACGTGCCACAGCAAAGTTTCAGAAAGATTAGTTGCGAGATCGATTGCAAACTAAAAGGTTGCACCTATTTGCTCCATTTGACGTGAGCTTTGCTGCGGGCTGATGGGCTCCCCTGTGAAACGTTGAAAGGTGTGTTTGGCGCAAGTCCGTTTGGAAAGTGACCTTGAAGTGGGAATGCTCCGCCATGCCACACGTCAAGCGACGCGGATGAGATGACTTGAACAAGTTGTATATTAAACATGCGTGATGTTTTTTGTTTCTCAATAAGCGTCAAAGCTGGAATGAGCTTTAAACGAGCGCAAACGGCGCGGTTGGAGTCTGGCAAGAACCACACGCGGCTCCCATCTAGTGCTTATAGAAGCCACAACTTCATTTGCAAGAGACAAGCTTACATTTTGGGGAATCTCGGATTTACGGGCCACGGGTAGTCCTGGCATGCATTTTACATCAAAGCTGCAGCAACAAGTAGAATGCCTAGAGGGCCCGTTCTAATCACATCACTTGCGAACCATGCTTTTGTTGGAGGGTAAAACCCTTGTTCAGGTTCACAGGAAAACCCAAAGGAAACCACCTCCACCTTTCTGTGGATGGACAAAATCCTGCACCACCTAAGAAATACTGGAATGATGATTTTCCCCAACAAACAATGGTTTCACGTAGCGCTCAAAGAGGTGCAAGATTTCGTGCAGTTTGACTCATACCCATGTGAGGAACCCGCAGCTCAAGAGCCGGCTCTTCGGCAAATGAGAGCGTTTGTGACTTCACCTGCACTGGCCCAGCCCAGTGGCACGTGTTTTTTTGTTGGATGTCCGGTGTCACCCTTTCGCAGTTTTGGGGTTTCTCTTATACAGTCTTACCTACCTTGACCTTGTTGACTTGCAGTCTTGCCTACCTTGACCTTGTTGGCTACGTTTGCAATCCGAGTGTCCCTTTCAAGTCCACCACACATCAGGACTGTCGTTTTGTAATCTCTTCCTTGCCCAAGTTGCTGGGCAAGATAGCAGATGTGCCTCCCCCGGCGCCTTGAATTGCTCCGAATCAAAGTCGCATGCGTGTTTCACCATGGCCTGTGAAACAGGACGTACAGTTTGGCAGCATGCCTCAATCGTGGGCATGCGGCCGCGTTAAGCAACGTGCGGACCTCTGAAGTTGCAAATCCTCACGATTGAAAACAGACTGTGCATCGGGGGTGGCCTTTGTGGAGACTGTTGATCAGTGAAAAGAGCTTGATATGGTTTGCGTTTGTTTCAAGTTGAACATGATTGCAGACTGGTCTTGTCCGGCATGAAGGATATTCCAGCTGATTCCGATGATCTATCCTGAGCGTGCGGGGAAGTGCCGTGTTTTGGACATCCATGGACTTAAACATGACAGATCTGAGCTTGGCATGCTTCTTTGCAGGTAGCCTGTGGGTAGCTACCGCGCTGCCTAGCATGGGACGAGCCATAAGAGGCTTGTAGGAGGCGAGATGGCTTTGAGTGCCTGGACATTCTTCGATTATTGAAGTGGGATGATCCTAATATGCATGTGTGTGTGTCAACTATAGAGGTGTGTGCAAGTAGCTGGTGCAACACTGCATGCCGAGCATGGGGCAGAGTAGTCTTTCCGCGAATCGGTGCAGGATGCCGAGCGACGGGCGGGAGTTTTTAGCCAGGGCTTGCTTTTTTGGGAAGGGCCTAGTTCAAGGACTGACATCCACACACACACACAGAGACACACTTGGCATGCGGTCTTTCATGTCTCAGCGGCTGCTCTCGAATTGCAAGCGAAGCAAACACTCGGGCTTGCGGTAAGCACCTGAAGTTGACACAGCGCTTTGCCCGGATATGAATGCATGACAGCCGTGTCCGTGTAGAATCCTGTGAGTCCGCTTAGGCGAGTCCTGAACCCGAAAGGGGTCAATAGCATTCCTCTTGCAACATGGGAGAGGTGTGCATCCATGAAGCACCCTATAGCCCCTCGCATCAACGTGATTTTTCTGAGTATCCTTTCACCTACAGTGACTTGCTGCTGAAACACGCCCGCATTGACCAACGCATAATCTTCCCTCAGAAGCTTTGTTGTTGATGTTGAGATGCGTGCTTTGAAGCTGATGCCTGCCATGCCCGTAGACTCGATCAAGGAGCTGAACAAGGATATCCTTTTGCAAGTTCTACAACCTCAACTGAGGCAGCTGCAACGTGCCAACGCATGATTCAACATTTACAAACCACAAACATGTTCCTTAGCTGCTCCTTCCCGTCCAAAACAAAAAGGATCAATCCGCTGCTCTCAGCGGTCAGCCACTGCTTGAGCGGCCTTTCAGGGAAATCTAGTTAATATTTTCAGCAAACAACAGAGCTACCAACCGCCAAGAGCCCATCGTAGAGTGCAGCGAGCAGGTGGGTAGAGCCTATGACTTGAGGCCTGCTGCCATGTCCGGTGGATATGCAGCTCCGGAGGCAGGTTGCTCTCCAGTTCGGGTCAGTTCCCCGAAACTGAAATGCAACCTTTGTTTTTGCTTGAGGGAACTCCCAAAAATGGCAGGTTTTCCTTTTGGTTTCACTTTGAAGCCTACCAAAAGGGGTCCCTTAAAGACGAGCCACCCACTTGGGTAAATTTGCGGCTTCTAGTGCCCCCTTATTTGCTTAAGGTGGGTTTCTCCCCCTCCCCCCTCCCCCACGTTCTCCAACCCAAGAAGGTACCCAGCCATCCGGTCGGTTTTTAGCTTCTTGTGTAGTGGTGGTTTCCACTTTTCCATTGAACTCACTGTAAAAGTGAAGCTTTTAGGGGATCTGAAAACGGACCGCCCAGCTAAGAGGGGAATAGTCATTTTCGAGAGGTCTTTACTGTGCCTCGCATGTGCGTTTTTTACTCTTCTCCCATTGATTCTAGGGGAAATGTTCATTCTTTCCAGGGATCTTTGCAGGACACCATCAAAACCCAGAGGAAACAGATCCGGTTTTTGACAAGAACGATGGTTGAAAGAATGGGGAATCAAGCCCTCGAATTGAGGTGTCCCTTGCCGGTTTTCGTGCCTTCGCGAAGTCCCTCGGGCACTTCTTTGTTGCAAAGCGATTGCTGAAAAGTTGTTCTTGCAGGCGTATAGGGGTGCCTTTTCCTGAGGGTACTTCCAAGAATGGCGGTTTTCCTTTTTGGGTGTCCCCTGAAAACCAATTTAAAGTTGGGGTTCCCTAAAAAAACAACACTTCCACACAAGCAACTGTTGGTTTGCGTAGGACATGGTGGCGAGGGGCATGTGTTTTTTTCTTGCTTCGATTTGTCCGAAAGTTTGCTCTACCCACAAACTGTTTCCACAAAAGGAAGTCATCCCCACTCCGTGGTGGCTCCCAGCCGTCGCCTTAGGTTTTATGGGTTTTTAGTTGTAGTGGTAGTGTCCATTTCACCCACAAAAAAGTCTTTTCAATTAAGCTTTGACCAGATCAGACAACGGAGAGCCCAGCCATCGCTCAGGCCGAGGATGGCCCCATGGAGGAACTGGCGGAGCTGCAGGTGAAGGCCCGGCGCCCGTGCGTGATCTGACCTTGGTTACCTCACCTGGGGTAGACTTGGGATACATTTTACATTTTACCAGTGACTCGAAGGGAAGCAAAGGGAAGCAAACAATAGAATATTCGTTCTATGAATGGGCCTAAGTCTAGTCATGCCTCGATTGGGCACTATCCCCCCATTCCTTGCGGTCTCACTTCCCGAGTTTTCCTGGACTTTAGTCACTTTTTGGGAAGACCATCTTAGTGGAAAATATAAAGTTCGGACTTCTTTTTTTTAGCCAGGTCACCCAGGAAGTGAGCGGTTGGATGTGTCGTTTTCAGGGTGCTTTGTCGTCTTTTCTTTAGGTTTCCCTCCCACCAATTGACATGGAACCTGACAGGGGGGTCCTGGAAGACAATTGTCCTTTTAAAGGGGGCCCCTGCTTTATTTACCCCAGTCGGTGTTAAAGGGAATCTGGCCGGAATCTAGCACTACTGGAAATATGTTGAGTTTTTCAATGGGACTTAAGCAAATGGAGGTGATTCTTATGGATGTTAAAGGCTAAAGGTGAAAAATAATTCTTGCCCGGTGAGGCATAGAGGTAATGGTCTTGCCAGGTGGTTTTGAAAGGGCGACAAGGTCTTGCCAGATTATTTCAGACGTTAAGAATTAAGGGCCAGATGGTGTTGAAGCGAGAGGTAAGTATTTAGTTCATACCAGATAAGAGGAAACCCGCATGAGTCGCTCTTGCCAGTTGGAGGGCTAAAGTTTGTTTTCTTCAGAATAAGCCTGTTGAAAAGCCCTTGTCAAAGCACAATGTTCTTGTTAACTTGGAGAGACGCGGGCTGTTTCACCGGAAAGCAATTTCCCTGCCGCCATGAGCATCCCAAACAACCCTCTCCGCTTTGGGGAAGCACATATCAGGTTTGCGCTGCCGGGTCTTGGGAGTGAACCGGAAGGGAATTCCCTTAAAGGACACCGCCAGTTGGATGGTTCATGGGGGGTCATTCCGTTTCTCATTCCCTTCTGAACTTCTGAGCAATGGGATTCCCCTAAAGGACACCACCTGTTGGAGGCTTTGTGGGGGTCATTCCCTCCCCTTCCGAGCACCAAGATCAGTTGAGGGATCGGAGCCCAGGAAGAAGCGCGACTGGAGAAGCTCTTCGCGGAGCGGCATATCGAGAGTTGCTCGGAGTTGTCGTTTTAGGTGCGCCTGGTGCGGCAGGTGTGTGCCTACCCAACGGTCAGGTTGGGTGAACCACCTGAAGAAAGTTCCTGGACTTTAGGCACTTTCTGGAAATACCATTTCGGTGGTAAACAAAAAGTTCAGGAAGAGAGTTGTTTTTTGCCTCCCCCCTCGCAGTCCAGTTGCATCTTTTGGGTTAACCACCTGCAAAAAAAGCAAAAAGCAGTGGGTGAAGACATACCTTCCAAGGGGGGAGAAGACATATGTAGTCCTATACAAGCACGGCCACGCAGGCGGCAGTATGAAGGGGCCATGGTCCAAATAGGGGACCCCCAAAAAGTAGTGGTTTCCGTTTGGTGTTCATTTCAATTACGCCCAAGAAGGGTACCCTCAAAAAGACGAGCCCATTAGGTTTGATGGGGCCGGTATGAAGATACTTCCGCGAAGAAGCCCACGTTTGCCGACATAGGAGCAGCGGGCAGAGCGCGGTCTGGATGACGACGTGACACTGAATACCTTCTTTAAGGCCAGGCGTGGGATGTCTCCGAACTGGGTCTGACTTCCATTTGCTGCAATGAGCATTTTTTCAAATTCCCTTGTTGGCGTTAAAAGGAATTTATCACTCCTGGAAATATGTTGCTGTTGTTTTTTGTTTTAAAAACATGTTTTCCAGGGGTCTTGACCAAATGGAAGCTGATGTTGACCAAAAGGGGGTGCAGCAGGTTGCATTTGATGCGAGGGAGGGCATCCAGCTTGCGAGGGACCCGGAGGGAACCTCCTCCCAGCACCGCATAGCCGCTTTTTTCCTGTCACCACATTGGTGCTTTGAATGGGACCTTGGGAAATCCCCCGGACGGGCTCGCCAACTGAAATTGTGTTGGTTCCAGACCTCTACAAGGATGCCCAAAGACCCTTGAAACCCTGTTTGGCCCCCATTGCCAGACTTGGCTTACCTGTTTCACCTTCAGCCATCAACAAGATTGAGTCTGGGGGGTACAAGTCTGGCCCACGCGACAGCTCTTCGACATGTGGATCCAGCTCTACCGCCTCAACAAATGCATGGAGGCGAGAGAAGCTCCTTCCACAAAGTCCTGGACGTTGGTGAGTTTTTAGGAAGGCCCCGCACCCACCCACCCACCCACCCACCCACCCACCCACCCACCCACCCACCCACCCACCCACCCACCCACCCACCCACCCACCCACCCACCCACCCACCCACCCACCCACCCACCCACCCACCCACCCACCCACCCACCCACCCACCCATTTCAGTGGCCGACCAAAAGCTGGGACTCTTTTTTCTCACTGGATCAATGAACCTGTTTTTTTTTTTGGGGGGGGGGTATTTCCCCAACCCAAAGAAAAAAGCGCCTTCGGACCCCCCCGCAACAAAACAAAAGTGAAGGATCCCCTCCGAAAAGTCAACCTCGGGTCGAATGAACAGTACTAGTCAGATAAAGTAAAAAACGATCAATCCAAAACTGGCATCAGGCATGGCCGGACTTCACCCTGGTTTGGCTCCGATCAGTTTGATGGGAAAGAAACCAGTGAACTGCTTGGCTCCCAGCCAAGGTGTTTGTTGCAAAGGTTGCTACTGTGGACGAGATGCTTTGATTTCGTGGAGCAAAATGGATGTGGTGGACAACCCGTCCACGTGTTTGTTTTGCTTTCAAAGCCAAGTGGCCGTAGTCAGTCTACAGAGAGAGCACTGTTTTAAGATCCCGTTGACATGTTGTGCCGGTGCATGGCTTCTCCAAGCAGCCCATAGGCTTGCCTGTGCATCTCAGAAGCGGAACATCCATTGGGCAAGTCACCCTCTGCTATATTTGGGTGTGTCTTTTTGGCGGGTTGGATTTAAAGGGAAACCAAAGGGAACACACTCCACAATTTAGGGGGACCCCTAAAGAAAGAGAACACGCATTTGGCGTGTATGTGTGTGTGTGTGCGTTTGGAGGGGAATTATATTTTTTCTTGATCCCATCACAGCTGTTGGAATCACAAGTTGGCAGCCAGAGTCTGCCAGACTTGGGATACTACACTGGGCTCCCAGCCATCCGGTTCCTTAGCTTTTGAGGCTGGATTTCCATTTGACCCACCGAAAGTGAGTCACTCTTAGCGGGGGATCTGAGGGCCCAGCTAGAAGTCCCATCGGCCCGGCCCGGTTTCAATCCCAGGTCTTGGAGGAGGTGGTCCCCATTTGCCGCAGCCGGGGCGGCCGGGTGGCCAACTGGGAACTGAGAGGAACTGGGACAAAAACTGAGCGCTTCCGGGTCTCAGAATTTTACATTTCTTTTCTCCGGGAGATGTGGCGCCTTTTTTTAAGATTTGCGTTCTGAACTTGAGTTCATTTCAACCCCCTGGACACCCCAGAAAGATGGCCAAACGGACACAAACGCAGTGGTATAGGTGTCCTGGTGACAGCCATGGGGTTTCGGCTCCGCCGAGTTGTGAAAAGAGCGACGGCTCAAGGTTTTTTGGGTGTGGCTCCTTTTGTTGAGGGCACCTGCTTTTTGGTGGTTTGAAAGAGAAACCAAGCGGACAACCGAAGTCGTTTTGGGGGGTCTCCCTAGAAAATGACAAACCTTCCCCCGTTTCGAAACTTGCTAGGCGAGAAGGACACTTCTCTTGAGAACCCGAAAGACTCCCACGACCTGGACCTTGAAAGAAAGGCAACCAAAATCGGTGGATATTCAAAGACGTAACCCTCAGATCCAGCATCCCATGTCTCACAGGGATCTCCATAGCCCCTTGAAGCCGGTTGCCTTATGCCATGCAATCCGGTGAGCTCCACAGGCGATCTCCACGTGAAGGGAGTGCAGGCGAGTCCGTGCGTACGCGCGCTCGGGGTGCCAGTCAACACGGGGTGTCCATTGGGTTCATGGCAGTGCACCGTCCCCTTGCCCCACGAATAGGGTGCCAAAAGAGGTGAACCATACTCAAAACCCGGGTAGATGAAGGTTAGTAAGGGAAAGTCCCAGCAAGAATTAGTTGCGGCCGCCTTCTTAATTCTTTACATGGTTCTGGGTAGACCGTTTTAAGACCGGGTTTTGATTATGACTCAGGTCTAGATCTACGACCTTTGTGGCCTTTGATATGTGGGGTGTTCATCAGGACTGTCAGATATCTTCAGAAGATTGGCGAGGTTTTGCGGGTAGTCTAAGTGTGGTCCAAAGGGGGTTCAACTTGGTCAGTTAAGAAGTGCCACCTGCTGTTTTTTCTCGCGTCCAGGCAGTTTCTCTCCAATCTTACTCATGCAAAAGATGCCAGTTTTTCCCGCATGTTTCCGGATACACCCGCCATGGGTTTCGGACCCGCAGAACTGAACGGAAGTCACCTGAAACCTGGCGGCCGGGCGGGGTGGGGCCCGACGTGGCAAGAACACCTGGCTTGTGGCGATGTGGGCCACTTGCGTAGGTGGAGGTGGGACAGTCCCGACCAGAATTCAGTGCGGATATCCGCCAAAAGTAATTAGTTCATTTAACATTGGTTTGGGACCATTCATTCTAATTCCGATCGGAGTTGAGTGTGACTCATGTGGACAATTTTCTTGGGTAGTCTGTTTGACATGGTGTCCTTTGCAGGGAATCCTCACACATCCCTCCTTCCTCGTCATCCCCGCGGATTTGTTTTCCCAAGGATTGAAAGGATCTGCTTTAAACAGCGAGCCATCCAGCGAATCCTTGTCATCGGCTGTCCCTTTTCAAACCACTTGTTTGGCTAAGATTTCAGGCTGCTCAACGTCACGCAAGCGGTTTGTTGCGGAAGCACCGGCCGTGCACATCTCAATGGAGTTAGGAGTGGGAGCAGAATTTAGTGCAAGCATTGAGATGAGCACCACCAGCCTGATTCCAACAGAGTGGTCCTCGCCTGTTTGAGAATATGAGTCAAACATATTCAGCCGCTTGAAGAAATGTATCGAGAAACCCGTTGGATATGCAGATGTAGCGCAGCCATGATCGGAGACCCCCCTCACACAGAACCAACCCTCCCCCAAAGACAAAAAGGAAAACAGATGCTGCTATCCAGATCAAGCTTCAAAGGGTATAAGCTTACGGGCCTGTGAGCCACCAGCAGTCGTTACCCAGGTCTCGGTCGTTTGAACGGGGCTGGCGCGGAAGCTTCCGCGCGTGCCATGGTGGGCAGCGGCAGGCGTTTGGAGGGCTACGCGCGGGTGGCGGCGTCGGACGGGAATGACAAATACGAAGCCGTCCAGGAGCTGCAGTGCCAATTCTTTCGGCACGCCTTCTTGGCTCCTTGGCCGTGACTGGTGTCCTTTTTGTTTCCTTCAAAAATGGTTGGAGCATGTGTTCTTGGATTTTAGGCTTTTTGGTGCTTATCATTTCTAGTAGAGGGCTGCGCAAGAACAAGTTTCTTACTACCATACCAAGGGTTGGACAGATGCCTAACCCAAAGTGAACAAGAGCTAAACGACACCTTTTCGGGCTGAAGCGCTCCAACTGTTTATGACTTGTGACTGCGAAGAGTGGCGTCCTTGGATGTCCGGTTTTGTTTGTTTCCCGGCCCAAAATGGCGCCCAAATGAGGTTTAATTTGTTTTTTGTTGGTTGGTGCACCTGGCCGGGCTTGCCTGGAAACCCCGGACGCCCATGGTGCTTCCCGTTTTCCAACTCACTCGTTTTGCCCCTTTTTTATGGGTGTCAACGGACCCCCAATACTGGCCCCCCAATCCCAATAGGGGCTAATAGCGACGAAGAAGGCCTATTAGGGGAACCTATTAGCTATTAGTGGTTCCTTTTTGTTTTTTCCTTTTTTTCTTTTCGGGCCACCCCTCTTTGCAGGGGCCTCTGACAACCATACTGCGGATGGACGAACTCCTGCACCACCTAAGAAAGCCTGGTTTCTGATGGTTCCCCTTGTAAACACCCACAAACGGTATGGTTTCCCCTGGTTTCAACGTGGTGCGAAATGGATTTCGCCAGCACCCACAGGATGTCTTCGTTTTGAGATGACCGCCTTGTCTCCTGTGTCCCGCGGGTGCCACAGGGTCACAACGGCCAATAGCGACGAAGAAGGCCTATTAGGGACCCTATTCGCGGCTCCTTTTTGGTTTTTTCCCTTTTTTTTTTTTTCGGGGGTCCCCTCTGTGCGGGGGACGGGGTCCAGGCCTGGCTGCTTCTGCCCATCGCCTACTTCGCCTGGGAGTTTCTGGCGCCCGAAGCCGCCCACGCCACCTGCCACCAGGGCTTTTCCAACGTGAGCCCCTGGGCGTGAGGTTCAAGCTGGGCAAGCAGGTTCCAAATGGGCGTGGCGCCGTTTTTTTTTTGTGCACCCGTGTTTTTTTTTGTGGTGTAAAGGAACACCAAAAAGAGGGGCAAATAGAACGGGTGCGTGTGTGCGTGTGTGTGTGTGTGTGTGTGTTTATTTTGTGTGTCAGAATCTCATAAGAAGCTATGCGTAAACAATTATTTGGACATGATGGACTTGAACAGCATCTTATGATTCACGCTATAAAAGATACATGCTTTTTCGGACCCTGGTATTGGTCACAACTTTTGGACATCCCGATAAATCCAAGGATCCCTTCCTGTTTTTTCACTGGGAGCCACACTTGGGCCCAAAGAAACCCGGTTGAGTCAAATCTATCCATACTGGGAGGGGGTCGCTTCTTCTTTGAGGGCACACTTTTTGGAAGTCTATGGCAGGGAGACCACAAGGAAACCAGAGCCAATCGTGAGGCTTCCCCATGGGACAACATGGACACACCCATGTGGCTGCGGGTCAAAAATAGGTAACCCCAAAATGGGTTGCCCTGATAAGTGGAACCATGGACTAAAACCTGCGGTCCAATTCCTGGTGGTTGAATTTTGACCCATAGCCATACCTCGGTCGAGGCCTTGTGCTCCTCTTCGTGGTGCAGATACACCAAATCTATGCAGAGTGCCGTGCATGGAACGCCTTGACCTCCATGCTGGCGCAGCCCGAGATGGTCGTCATGCGCCATTTCGGACCCCAGCTTCAAATTTGTAGCGTGCTATGTCTAGCTATGCGTTTTTGTTGAACGCGCATGTTTCTTCAGTTATTGTTTGCTATTGTGTGCCTTTGTATTCGGTGTTGCCCCGTGTCCGTAGCTTTGCTGTGTGCATGGTCATGATCGCAAAGGATGATATAAACTGCGATTGCCATGGCAAGCGAGGAGTGTTTCGGAGCAGAAAGTTTCTGATCGTGGTGGGCTTGTGCGAAGCCTTCCTCCTCTTTGCCGATGTGTCCTTTCCCTTCGTGGCACGCGCATGCGATCCTTGACTGAAGGCACGTAGTGGCAGTGGCTTGGTCAATTCTTTCAGGTTCATGGGTTTTTAGGTTTTCAGGGTTTAGTCGGGGGGGTGTCCATTTCACCCACAAAAAGTGAAACTTTTAGCATGGGATCTGTCAAAGGAATTGACCAAATGGGGGCGTACATAGTCCTACGTCACACAAAGCCACGGGGCAAGTAAGAGTATAGAGAATCTAGTGGTTTCCAGAGACGACTTGTTCCGGTACCATCGCTCGCTGATAGGTTTGCGAAACTTGAGGCTTCAGAGTTTTCATCGTCCCACGAGTGACGATGGGGCCCTTCGGCCCACTCCAGCAATGAGGGCAATGCAAGCTTTCACTTTCTTCTGGTTTGAAGGTACAAGACTTGCCATGTAAGGAATCCTGAAACGGGTCCGAAATGTCTCTCGCAAGCTATGGAGCATGGTGTTGTCGCCAAGCCAGCTCATACCATCTCTTTTGCAAGGGCAAGCAAGCATCTAGGGGCTGGAAACTTCTAGTAGAATCCATGTGGGGTGAACTACTTTTCCAACAACTCTGTTGTCCGCTTTCATATTGGCAAGTCTCTGAAAACTGGTATAACGGTATAATCTTCACAGACATCAGCAGCCAGGATCATATTCTCACAGACAACTGGCAGATCGCCTGGAGCGACGTGCCTTTGGTGGGCGCCTTCGCCGTGCGCGTCTTGACGCGCGTGCGCTTCTGGGGCCTGGCGTTGCTGTCCTCCCTGGGTGCGATCTTTGTGAACGGCGCGGCTCGGCAGGGAAAACTGGCGATCGGTGCGATGGGTAGGGAATGAACCTGGGGATTCCCTTAAAGGAAACCAAATTGGGGATGGTTTATAGGGGTAAAACATCCCCACCCCTTAAAAATGGGATCGGGGGAGGGGGTGACCAACGGAATTATATTTCTGGTTTCATTTTCCCTTTTATGGCAAAGCTGGATAAATGGACTTGGGCACCCTCCACCCCCCTCCCCCTTATGGCACGGGGGATTCGAAAAGTGGCTGGTGCGATAGGTAGGGAACGAGGGAATGAACCTGGGGATTCCCTTAAAGGAAACCTAATCGGGGATGGGGTCATTCCCTCCATCCCTGCTGAGAACCAGCAAGAAAAACCGCGGAGCGCAAAGTTCAGATGTCAAAACCAGGTTCGTAAAACACGGAATGAGTGTTGAGCGTGTTTTTGGTCAATCAAAAGAAGAATGGGGAAGATTGCAACATGAAATATGCAAACACCTGTCTGAATGGAGCAGAAAAGCGCATGCCAGTGCACCAATCTGTGTGACTTTGGTGCAGCTGTGAGGGTATGCGCTTCGCATTCTCGGACACAACGTTTTGTTTTCCACCGCCAATGGGGAGCAGATAAGTTGGCCCAGATTGCGCATGTTGAACCCTTGCGAAGCCAATCCAGAATGTTCCAAAAGAAATGCAGCTTTCGAGTTCAAGATGTTTGGGCACTAGTCGACAATCTCGTCGTTGCAAAGATTGTCGTTGGATGAGGTCTCAAATATTGGGGCCGGCATTGCTCCAAAGAAACTGCCAGTCG